TCACTGATCATTTTCTAGTTGTTATCCCTGACTCCTTGGCCTCCAACATGTCACAGAAGAGAACTGGGACTTGTGTGACCAAGCAACATTGGAACATGATCATTATAACAAAGCTATTAAGGAAGAGGAACACATACACACTAGGAAACGCTGTAGCAGGTTGATTTTGCCTGATGCTGCTGTGAAGGGCAAGATTCTGCCTCTTCTATCTTCCCCTTCCTACAAATTCTATTTATTTATGACTCACTTTCTTCTTTTAAATGAGACTGAAAGCAGCTCACAACATTATAATTACCCATTTATTCTAATTTATTTAAATATATAATATAAATGATTTTCTACATATTCATCTAATCCTACAGATTGGGACATTATTGTTCAGGTAAGTGAGTTAATTGCACACAATCTTTGCACTTTTGACTTCATTTAAGAGACAGCTAAAGACCTGGCTGTGGAACCAAGCATTTGGCCCATCATAGGAATATTTAAAGTGAAAATGAAAGTTGAAAGTGCAATGACTCAGGACTGTTTATGAACAACTATTTATTTATTTATTTATTTATTTGCGGTATTTCTATCCTGCCTTTCTCAGCCCGAAGGCGACTCAAGGTGGCTTTGTGTGATATGTGATGTTAATTTATGTGATGTGTTTAATAATATTAGGGGAGGGTTAATTTTGATGTTTTACACTGTTTTTTATAGATGGCATTGAATTGTTGCCAACACTGTGAACTGCCCTGAGTCCCTTTTGGTGTTGAGAAGGGCAGTATACAAATATTGCAAATAATTAATTCGCAGCAACTGAAATAAGTTGAAGAAAAACTGAGAGCAGCAAGGAGAAACTGGGACATTTAAAAAGCAGTTGAAGGAGTAGGACATCTGAAGACAGGATTGTCCCTGCCACATCAGGAGAACCGGAGGGCGTGTGCACTCCTAAGCCTCATCCCAAAAGGAAGAGGAGGTGGATTTTGTCAGACTTTGGCACACATGTATTGGATATGGAAATAAAAGAAGTGAAGATGGAATAAATATTTGAGACCCAGCCAGTGGTGTAGTCATAAATTTTGAACTGCAAATACTTATCATGACAAGCCTGAAAGGCAGTCTCCAAAGGAGAATCCAAAAATGCAGCAGCTCTGTACGTTTCAACATATTGCTTCTCATAATCTTCCTTACCTTCAAGAGTAGATCTTTTGTAAAGTTAACCAGTTAACTCCACATTGAAGTTTTGTTAATTATATAGTCAACACTTCTTTTCCTTCCCAAATTATATTTGGAATATTTGCATTTGTATTATACTGCAAGTTGTCTTGGGCCCCATATTAATTGAAAAGCAGGATATAAATTAAACAAATGCATCTGTATTTGTTCTGTAGGAATACTAGAATAGATTCACACAAAGAGATACCTACTGTGAGGACTGCAAGTAAACTCAGAGAGAAGTACAGATGCAGTAATTTTCCTTGCTAATAAAAACAGCACCAGTACTGACTCTGGAAGACTAAAGTTCAAATCCCCAGTTAGCTACTGACTTTTGAATACTTACCTTCTATCAGGATTAGAAGAGTGCAATGGTAAAACCCTTCTGAATAACCACCTTATCACATTGAGAAATTTCCCAGTTGTAGGACACTTCAGGCTCTTTTCAAGCATGGAGAGGCACTAAGTTCATCACATGCGTTAAACTCATACTTCTGACAGTCATGCATAACCCTCCATGGTTGAAAAGAGACAGAAGTATCATGAAAGGAGGAAACTCTGGCAATCAACCTCATCACATTGAGAAATCCCCCCCTCTTAGGACACTTAAGCCTCTTTTCTAGCATGGAGAGGCACGGACCTCATCACATGTTCCAGGGCTGAAAAGAGTCTGAAATGTCCTGAAAGTAGGGAACTCTGAACATGGGCCAGCAATCATGTTCAGAGCTCCTACCTCTTATCACACTTTGCTCACATATTTACAACTAAAAAACAGGTATGATGGGAACCATCAAAGTTTCCTGTTCTGTTTCATTGCCAACTGTCAGCAGTCTCTTCTATCCTATGAGGTTTAATGCAGGTCAATAGGATTCCATGGAAAGCAGTGGTTTTAACCTGGATAATTGTCTCGTGTCCTCTGGGTTTCCATGCAAATCGATATGATCCCATGGAAAGCAATGGTTTTAACCTGGATCACTGTGTCTTGTATCCTATGGGCTTTGATGCAGAATCACAGAATCCCATGGAAAGAAATTGTTTTAAAGTGGTGTCGGTCTCTTTTAATGTAAGGAGCTTTGGACAGGGCAGGGTTTTTCTTGGTTTTTGGATATTGTTGTTTCTCCTGAAATATTGCGTGAGTGAGACAGTCTCAGGATATAGGTCTTCCCAAATTACAGACATACATCTTCAGATGCTTCCTAACTATTACTGGTAGACACTCATATAAATAAATCATGGAGTGCATCCACATTCTATCTATAGACAGCCCTTTAAACTTCAAGCTGGACAGAGCCATTATTGTCTTATCAAGAGGGGTGCTTGTTTTTACAAAATGGAGAAATATTGCCTTTTATTGGGTTGCTGTGAGTTTCCCAAGCTGTATGGCCATGTTCCAGAAGTATTCTCTCCTGACGTTTTGCCTAAATCCATGACAGGCATCCTCAGAGGCTGTGAGGTTGCCTTTTATTGTTTTCCAAGTATTCAACAGGCTAGGGCCATTGGAGTGAAATATCACAGAGTGTAAATTGGGTTTTGGTTCCAGGACCTGCCATGGATAGCATTCTACAACACAGTGTACATGGATTTCTTAAAAGTTTGCACAGACTTTTATGCCTTGCTGATTGGCCTTAAATACACAACACCACAATATGTCTCCCTATATTTATCTTATGGCCAACACAACTAGGCAACCTTCCAGATGTTAATAAATTAATCAATTTTTCCCAAATAACTTGTTATAACAAAACTTGTAGTCCAACATCACTTGAAAAGCCAGAAGATCTTTTACACTTCCTTCTAAAACATCAACACTTACAGTATATGAATGGTCCTGAATTATATACAATGGACATGGCTCTAGCAGGGTGAGGCATGCTTTAAATAACAGTTTCTCAAACTGTGCTCCTCCAAAGGTTTTGGACTTCACTCCCACAATTCCTAACAGCTGGTAAGCTGGCTAGGATTTCTGGGAGCTGAAGTCCAAAACACCTGGAGGAGCACAGTTTGAGAAACACTACTTTAAACAAATCTGTTCACACTGTTCAACAGTAACGAACACCTAAAGAAATATTTCATAGTGATAAATAGAAGACTTTACAAAGATATTGGCTAACACACAACTATGTGGGGATCACACACTACATTGCAACATTCAAATAACTGAGGATTGAAAGTTGAATAGTTATTTTTTCCATAAGACTTCCAACCAACAACTTGCTTTGCAGTATTGCACTTGTTGACCTAAAGGCCTGACATAGACAAACGTAAAACAACAGTGAACCAACTGCAACAAATACTCAACAGATGTGCTACTGACTTGCTGTTTCAGTTCATTCAAAAAGTTCTTTTTACCTCAGAAGAAAAGAATAGGAAGTTCCTCCCCTGGAAAAAAATGGAAACTTAAAACAAATCGCTAATTTTAATGATATAGTCTTCTTCATGAGGGAAAAAATATTTCAAGGGTTACATGAGTAGAGGCATTGAATATCATACCATGGGACTTAGGTCTACTTGTATCATCTTTTCACTTGGCACAAAACTGCTGAGAATGATCCAAAAACGATAAACATCTACTGAGGTCATTTTTTTCAGCACTGTGGGGCTACAGTTCTATCTGAACACGTTGGGCTGCCCATGAGACGCATTTGGTCCTATTGAACAAACCCTGTAGCAATTTGCAAACATGTTGGAAAGAGTGGCATCTAGTGGTTCCTATTGGCAGCTGGGCTTCATCTATCAAATGAAGAGTTTTCGTAACAAAACAGACTACAGATGTGAGATCTAAGCCCAAATAAAACAGGCAGACATTTGGATCTTTAAATGCACAATTTAAATGAGGAAGGAATACAATGGAAACCAGCAGGGAATTCTAATTCATTCTTGGGAGTGGCATTTCCATCCTCACCATAGGATGTGTCAGCATTGCTTTACTGAAGGCAATAACTTTATTCTAAAACAGCTGAGTGTAACCTCATAAACTGACACGATAGAGAAGATTCATTTTACATGAATGAACTGCAACACATCATCAATCTTCATGCTCGGTGATTGTGATTTCTAGTCTATATTAATTAATAAACATTTGCAACATTGTAATATACAGCCAAAAAAGCAGGTAGCCATTTGAGTTCTTTAATCCAACACCCCTTGCAAACTCTTTCAGTGAACATACATAATTATGTGTGAATCACTAAGATGACTATGAAGGGTTGCGGACCAGACTGCCAAAGGCACCAGAGCTTTATCTTTTTCATTCAAAAGTCTGTCTTGCTATCCAAAATAGCTCAGCTGAAGATATCCAACAATGTATGGTATGTCTGGCAAACATTAAAGAGAAAGCATTGGCCATCTTATGAAAGGAGCATGAGTAAAAAGGCAATCACAGAATTGCTATGGAGCAAACCTAATGAATAAACCTATGTTTTGTGAAATTAGATTCTGGGAATTGTAGTTTAAATATAGCTTTTGGCTTACGTACTGCTTTTTTCTAATCCAACTGAATTTTTTAAGAATTTGTGTACTTTCAACACTTTCAGCTCCCAATTGAGATTGAGAAATCAGTGTTTTAAATAACCCATTAACTTTTATTTTGACATTAAATGAAGAGTGGAGCAACTAATTTTCCCATCTCATAATTTCACAATCACATCTAAAGAAGAGCACCATCGTATGATGCACCAGCCCCACACTCACTCTTCCTGGAAACATTATTTATATACTAATGAGCCTGCTTCCAGCATGAGATCACTCCCCAACTTCAAAATCCTCCAAGTTTATTTCTGAATAATCATTTGCTCAGCTACTTCATGAGGAATTTTCTTTATTACTTTGCTTGCATAAACTCTAGTAAAATTATTCATAAGATGAATCACATATTCACATAACAATACGTGCAAAGAAATCGCTAAATAAATTTGTGCCTTTATACACTGGGATGTGAGCAATAACTCCTATTCAATTTTATTTACTAGTGAAACAGAAAAGGTTCCTTTCATAAATGTTGCCCAACAGTGCTGCAGGCTGATTCCATTTATCTCACGGGAAACTGCCAATAACATGAAGACACTAAGAAAAAAAATGATCTGGTTGGCACCATCACCATGAAATGTGTTCCTAACTTTCAGGAGGAAAAAAAATGCAAGAAAAAAATGAAGGCAAACCCAGCAATGACTTTGAAGAATCCTAGTTTCCACCCCAGTGGTTGAAAGGGGTTGCCATTTTCATCTGCTTCCAGAGGATGATCTGTATGTTGTGGTTGTGATGTAGTTTTGCTGTATGGAAACAAACCTTTTGCTTTTCAAACCTAGCGTTTATAATATTAAAACAGGGAGTGCATGTAATCACCTATGGAAAAAATTGTTCATATGAGATACCTGACTGGCTTTCCAAAGTAAAGACACTTCATTGGGGAGTGGTGTCCTTCCTGTCTTGGGGTGCTCTGACATTTAATCAGGGCTATACAGTAGATCTGTTGCTATGAAAACAGCCATTCCACTTCAGGTTTTACACCTATTCCTCTGGGTTGTGCAGGAATTGGCTAGTACAGCAGCCTATTTCCAAAAAATCTTCAACAGAGAGAGCACTTGATTAATCCAGACTGGGTATCCTTAAACGCTAGCCCTCCAGCTGTTTGAGCATCCAACTCCCAGAAGCCCTAGCCAGCTTGTTCAATGGTCAGGAATTCCGGGAGTTGGAGGCCCAAAAAAACTGAAGGGCCAGAGTTTGAGAATGCCTGATCCAGACTATATATGGAAGGAGTGACTCTAAAACTGAGGGAACACCTTCAATTATAGATTCATTAGCCACCCTTGCTCCTACTACACACAAATTATACACTTTACACATCCTGTCTGAGACTGGAATGTGGGAAGAAAAACTGTGTATAGCAGAAACTCAGCTATATGAATCCAAAGACTTGATCTTCTCTTCCTCCATCTAATAGCTTTTTATGATATCTAAATTGAGCATTGCCTAAACTGAGAGATACAAACAACCAATTTTAAATTTTATTATGTTGAAGGCAAGATTGTCTTTCTTTTTTAAAAGAACCTAACACAAGAAAGACTTCAGAAACTAAGTATTTCCCAGTCCAATTGCTTGCTAGTCTAAAAGCTCATCATCGGATTGAGGCTGGTGCAATGACTCCTGCAGTCCCAATTTCTCTTCCAGCTGGAATGATATCAGATCTTTTCTGGTGATTATGCCAACAACCCGATTCTGTAAATCCACAACAGTCAGGTGACGAAGGCCTAGAGACCGGAAAATGATATATGAACGCTGCAGAGAGAAATGAGCTTGAATCGACATGGCTGATTTGTTTATGTATGGCTCCTGCAAGATGAAAGAAATAAGATATTAAGGAAAATAAGACATTACACATAGTCCTGCATTTTTAAAATCTCACTTAAAAGGAACAGAAGCACAATGAAAGGAACGTTTCAGTTTCCACTAGGATTGGATTATTATTGGAATGTACACACAGATCACATAGCATAAAGCAGCTAAAACTAAGCTCTGTTGGTGCATCCAAGGTTTCTGCATGAATATAATCAATTACTACATGTATTCATGTGGTAATTGAAAAAAAAGAAATAACCTTATTACCCAAAATGTAGGCATTATTTTAGTTGAAGAAACGTCTCAGGTAAGCCTCAGGACTTTATCACACAAGACTAGCAAAGTGGAATTTTGGCACGATAATCACATATTTGGCCGGTTCTTCACACATGGTGCTTTTCATACCATCTGTTTGTGTAGTGTGGTGTTACATGAATTGTTAAAATCAATTAATGTATCCTGATAGCACTGCTTTTCCATTACCGAACGCTATGTGATAAATCCCTTCCATTGCAGTTCCAATATGCTAACAGTCAGTGAGCATTATTTTCCTGCTCTTCCCACTCCCCCTCGCTAGTCCCAAGCAGGCTGGGTTGTTGTTGTTTTTTCTTTTTTAAATTGTATTGATGTAATCGTGGAATTGTGGTAAAAATAAATAAAATAAAAATGTAAAGGCACAATAACATAATGCACGCAGGCTGTTCAGAGACAGTTTGCAGGACAATAGATTGCCAAAGCAGTGTCATTATTCTAACACAAAGAAGTGTGAAAATTAACATTGTAAAACTGATATGTTTCCATTCCCTACACTGTTGTGATTGCAGTGAGACAGCAGGCTGGTGTGATAAAGTGCTAAATGTTAATTCAGACATGAAATTCTTCTTTTTGTACTAATGTTGGGAGAAACCACACACAACTAAGGTGATTATATCCGCACATAAAGGTCAGATATACAACAACCTTTGTAAAGTGGAACACAAAGACATTTTGCTGCAAGAATACTAGTTAGGAAACAGATGTTCAGATAAATGATGTAACTGCCTCGTCATATGTTAAAAAAAATCCCTAAGGTCAAACCTATTTGGTAGTATTTAGTGCACCATCTTGGCAGAAGGTCCAGCACAGATACAAAAGTCCTAAAAATAAAAACAAGCACCTCATGGCAAGAAAAGTCTTCCGTTTTGAGATTCATTCACAAGTGTAGTTTTTTAGGCTAGACAATCGTATTGCACTATTGTTGGGGTTGATCTGTTTAGAAGCTACAGTTGAGAGTCCAAGAAACCATATGATAACCTGTTTGCCTGAAAAAAGATATACCCATAAAATAAGCCGTAGCAGGATTTCTAAGCATTTGTGCAATATAAGTCATACCCCGAAAATAAGACGTAATGGTAGGTGTGGCTATGCAGCGTACAAAGTCAGCTCCCCCTGTCAGATCCTGGTCATTCTGTGCATGCTGCAAGCTAAGGCATAGAGGGAGACATAGAAAGTGAACGGAAAAGTCTTCTCAGTGAAGTGAGGAGCAAGATACTCTGCTTTAGGTATTATGTGTCCTCAAGGATGAAGAAGTAAAGCTGTGACTGCTGTTTTACTAAGCACTGTGGTTTTTCTTCCCCAGCATCAACCAGTAACAGTCTGTGGGTCTCTCTCACCTCCCACAAACACCAGTAAAGCTGCTGCTCCCCAGCACTGACCAGCAACTGTCTGTAGGTCTCTCTCGCCCCACACAAACACCAGTGGATAGGGGGAAAGCTTCAGCAAGCAGTCTGCTACTGAGCCCAAATATATCATCCCAACACCATTGTGCAGATTGGACCCAGTTCCAGGTTTGGAGAGTTATGATGATGTTCCAGAAGAAGACGACTTAACAGTATTTGAATAAATGCAGATTGTTGTACCATACTTGATAAAAAATAAGACATCCACAGAAAATAAGCCACAGTGTGTCTTCTTGAGGAAAATGAATATAAGAGAGTGTCTTTTTTGGGAGGGGGGAACCCTTGATCATTTGCAATGGTTCTTCATTGTTTTAAAGATATCAAGTTTTAATCATTAGAGCTCAATATACCTATCACCTGCCACATCTCCTATGTCCCATTATTGCTTTCAAGATATCCAAAAAGGCAACTTCTTGATGTAATTTTATATATATCATTTCAGGAGCCACTGCTTATCAAAAAGATGTAGGATAATCCTTAAAATTGTGCTATAGTTACAGCTAAGTGAAATGTTGCAATATGTGTGGACAATAAAGTTTCTCCCTTTTTATGATATTATAGACATATTCATGGGAGATTCATAGAAACAGAGCTGCCTTTGGGTTCAACTTTCTGGCGCAGCAATTAACATGTAAATGTCAAAATATCTCATGTTAAACAGACAGGGGATCGTCATTGCTGTGTCGTTAGAGACATGGTTGGAGACAGAGAAAATCTCAAGAACAATGCTATGCATATTGTTTTAGTAGGAGTCAAACACTGACATTTAAATGATGTGTTCCATTATCACAGTATCTTTTTGCCAATCTGGAATGTGTTTTAATCACAAATCCCCTTGAAATCGTTGCCTTTGTTGTATTTTCTTGTTGGCTCATTGTATCAACATCTGTTATGTTTATATAATTTGAATTAAAACTCAGGAATGCTGTTTGTACTCTGCTACTTTTGTTGAGAGTGCAACGTCCCAAGATTGGCAGTGTTTATGTAAATCAGTGAGGCTGACAGAGCCGTCATAAACAGAAGGGAAAACTATAACAAACACATTGTTCATAGAGGAAACGTTTGTTTTCAGAGTTGGCTTTACTCTTACCAGATTGATGAAGAGCTGCTGATACAGAGGGTCTGTACTATAGCAGTCCAGCATAATGGCCAACCGTTGCTGATCATGCAGTTTTTCAGCTCTGATCTAGAATAGACAAAATCACTTTTACTTTAAGCAGTTTGTTAAAACATTAGAGTCTTGATTATCCAACCTTTGCTCATCCAACGTTTTGTATTATCCAACGCAATATGCCTCCCACCCGGAGCCACAGTTGTTTCAATACACTGCGATGTTTTGGTGCCAAATTCATAAATACAGTAATTACTACATAACATTACTGTGTATTGAACTTCGCTTTCTGTCAATTTGTTGTAAAACATGATGTTTTGGTGCTTAATTTGTAAAATCATAACACAATTTGACATTTAATAGGCTTCCCCTTAATCCCTCCTTATTATCCAATATTTTTGCTTATCCAACGTTCTGCTGGCCTGTTTATGTTGGATAAGCAAGACTGTACTGTACTCCAATTTCCTAACATGGTGCAATTGGATTGGATTTTTAGGAAGGAACAATGTGTTGATTTCTTACCTGATGGTGAATAGCTCTGCAAAAAGTAAAATTAAAATATATTCACCTCGTCTTTGAAAATTAATCTACTTTACTTGACTTCTTTTGTTGACTGAGGATCTTATCACATCACTTCTTTATGCCAATTTATTAATTTGCTCCAGCCAGTCTCATGCCCTCATGTTGAAGCTGTCTATAACAACCTTACCATTATTTGCACTTTAAAAACATAATTTGCACTTTTTTTGTCCACACTAATGTTATTTTTGTTGAACCCTGTACCCTACCAATCGCTTCATGATTGCTTCATCTAATTTAAAAAAATTACAATAACACTACAATGGAAAAACATTATGATACTAAGGGAACTTCCACACAGCCCTATATCCCCGAATATCAAGGCAGAAAATTCCATAATATCTGCTTTGAACTGGGTTATCTGATTCCACACTCAGATAATGTGGGATTTTCTGCCTTGATATTCTGGGATATAGGGCTGTGTAGAAGCCCCTGGGACATGCTACAATGTTATGACAATATACCAGTAACCAAAATCATTGGAGTGGGAGATCAAGAGTGATTTAAAGATACTAAAAAAAGTCATATTTTCTGTCTGAAAACCAGAGGTAGCTTGGAGCTTCTCTGCCAGAGGTTTCCTTGGGAATCCTTGAGAGAGGAATAACCTGGTCACACTTGCATCACATCCGTTAATGGAATAAAATATCCACACCTGAACTGGTGTGGGGAAAGAGGGACATTAACAGATTACTTCCAGGATAAAAAAAAAACCCAACAATGTTACAATGATTGGGAAACAATGATGTGCATGCAATAAGGCTGAGATTCATGCATTGCTACGACTGTATGGAATCATAGCACCCTTAGAATAAAGCAGGTGACTGACAGTTTGCATTTTCAAAACAGCTAGATTGATTAGAATAGTATTATTTCAGTTGAATAAGCCAGAGAGAGAAATGAAGCAGAACTTTGTACCTTCTGATAAGAAAGAAGTGAACAGGGTTCAGAGTTTTCCTCCGAATCCATTTCAAAGATGTCTTCATTTTCGAGGAGCACACAGAGCTCAAGTCTAGTTTCATGGAGAAACACGTTCATCAGCATCAGTCAATATCAACAGTTCTCAATTGCTATGAGATTAAGATTTTTTTACAAAAATAAGGAGAGAACTTATTCTAGGTATTGTTTCCTAAAACTTGCTCTCCATAAGTAGTTAGACTGGAGGTACATCACTTACTATTGACTATGCTGGAGACAAGATGAGATGTTATGATGTTTATTGATTGTTATAATGTTATTCTTTTAACTTGTTTTTAACTGTTTTTATCATGTTTAAGTATTGTATTTGCTTTGTTAACCGCTCTGAGTCGCCCTGAGGGCTGAGTAGAGCGGTATACAAATATAGTAAATAAATAAAATAAATTTGTAAATATATAAAAAAAAAACACAGACACACTGGGAAATACAGCAGTGATCATGATATATCAACCCAGCACTTCTAGTAAGCAAATAATCTGATTCACACTAATTAAGAAATAGCTACAATGTTATCAAGGAAGATTTTCCAGAATGCCTTGTCAGATGAGAACTCAATTCCTTTTTTGCCATCTTTTCCCACTTCCCTAAATGGCAGAAATTTCCATGGTTAGCAATACTAGACATGGTCTCCTTTAATGAAGAAAAAATGGAAGTGTCACATTTTGTTTTATTTACATATACAAAGACAAAGGCAACTGATTCACCACCATAGATAGGCTTTGCTTTGATTTAGCAAGGTATTTCTTAGATGCACCTCATGAGCATATAGTATACTAGAGACTAGGAGCTTTCTTCCCTGTGAGATAAAATTTGTTTAGCAGAATATAGTTGCCTACAAAAGGGTAGACATATGATCTAAACATAAACTGAGAAAGGCTGAATTCAGTTTCTCCCTAGTTCATTCAAGTGGAGTTTTAATAGGTAGACTCCACCAAAATTGCTTTAAAAAACCCACTCAAGATTATTGGAAAATCATTGGTCTCTTGTGAAGATTGTTATAATATTTATCCTCATATGACTTTCCGCGCCCTCCGCCAGTAGTAGAAGTAGGAGACAGATCAATCCAATGTCAGTTTTACAACTAAGATCTTAGTCATTTATTGTACACTGATATTAAAGAGATGAATGATCGAGTAAAGTTATGTTCTATTAATGACCATGTTCATGCATAATGGTGAATCAATCTTGATTTATGAAAATATAATAAATATGAGCCAAGTGCTATTTCGCCATTGTGGGTTTTTTTTATTCCACTTTCCTCCTGTTCACACAAGTGAGTAAACAAGACTAATTCAGATAGATTTGTGCTAACATCAAATCTTATATTATAGTTTGTTATATTCAAGTAAATTAAATGCTAATTTAAGAACCCTGGCTAGATTGGACAAAACAGTCACACCATGGTCCCAATTTTGTTGTGGTACCTTACTCTAGAGGAGCAGTTACCCAACCCTGTGCTAAGAGCATTTACACTGTACCATATGAAATAATCCCAGTGCGATGGAGGGCTCTTCTGTAGAAGAAGTAATCAAGGTCAAATCCTTAACAACAGGGGTCCCCAAACTAAGGTCCGCGGGCCAAATGCAAACCTCCAAAATCATGTTCTGGGCTCCTGCCCTAGACTTAAGTTTTTAGGTCATCTGTCTTTAAGATTTCTTTTAAATATGAGAGATAGGGAGATTGAAAGAGAGAGCTGGACACTGAATGCAGGAAAACTTTTCCTGGGAATTTCCTGTTTAAAATGCTGCATCATGGACATTAAATAAATAGGTAAATAGCTTTGTCAAATAACTAAAAATCTGACTTTTAATCCCAGATTTTCCCATCCACTGTAACCAATGGTTGAGGGGTCCCTGTAGCTGTAGCATAAGAAATAAAAAAAATTCTTGCTACAGCTACCAGAATTTCTTTGTTCAATAAAATATATTCTTATAGTTGACACGAGGATGATTGACTCTCCAGCACTGCTTCTTAAACTGTGGTCCCCAACACCAAATGGGGTCCCTTTAACTCAATGTTGGGGTCACAAAAATTTGGCAACAGAAAAAGGTTTCTGAATGCCACACAAATCTGTTAGCAACAACATACAGTGATTACAGCGGACTTTGCAGAAACTATACTCCACAAAAAGGAAAATCAGATTCACAAATGCTGATTTATTTTCTGTGATGGCATGCCCGAGCCTTTGGGGAAACTATATTGTCTGGCTTTACTCGGGGGCTAACTGATACCTTCTGTTAAGATTAAGACCCTTAGCAGACAGAGGTGCTTTAGGCAAGGTGAAAAGATAACCAAATGAGTTAGTGAAACAAGATGAATAAAAGGTTAACTCTAACAGGGACTATCATAAGGTAACTTAAAACAATACATTACAAAATAAGATTTTGCTGGTTGCAGTCATCTTTCTGGAATCTTTGAAAGTCTCTTGCTTCTGGTGCAAAACAATTGTTATAAACTGTCTCAATCTTCTTCCTTGTGAAGCTTTGGCTAGCCAAAAGCTTCTGTTGACCTTTGGACTGCTGGTATAAAAATACTGCTAAACGCAGGTGCTAAGAATGCCTGTTTGAATTGCTTGGGCCTTGGATTATCAGACAATCTATGGTAGCTCTGCTGTAGGAAAAAGGAGGAGCCCAGCAAGAACTCTATACAAAGAAATGGAATAGACCAACTAAGACTGGCCTCTGGGGAGATTTTAAGCTCCACCCAAAAACTAATACATAGGAAGATGTCTACACTATTGGGAAGACCTATAAACAGGGGGAACTAAAGCAGAGGAGAGAATGAGGCAGAGTCAAAACTTCACATTTTCAGTAAATATTTGGTTTCTATAGTTATTTTATATATCTATATATACCTTGGGTGGAAAGAGGTCACAATTGCAAAAGGTTTGAGAAGCTCTGCTCTATACTACAGATTTACTTTGTTTTGTTTGGAGTATGTAGAATGAATTCCATGCCAACATGGCTACTGGCTGAGTGATTTGGGAAGTAGTAGTTTTTTAAGAAAACTTTTTTTCAACTCTGATCCTAGTATAGGCCCATAGTTGTTGTTTTTTTTAATGGAATAAAATAAATGTGCATTTTGAACAATATTAAAGAACAGAAACATTCATTTAGCATAAAGCTTTGCTGGTAAATCTGAGCAGATTCCAAATTTTTCCACTTTACTCTGAAATAAACCCAGCAGGGAATTACATAGGAGCCAAGCTTTGAGAATTGAAAGAAGAAATCCAGATAATGAAAAAGGCACATGGACATGCAATATATATATATATACCACAAGCATGATGAAGGAAAGTTTTGGAACACCACTAATGAAAAGCAACCCAAGGCTATTAAACTTGCCACTATCAGGAGAAAAACGAATACTCATTATTTCACTTGGAATTGCAAAAGCCATGCTTCAGAAGTATAACAAGATCATTCTTTGATGTTACATATATCCCTCCTATCACATCATCAGGGCTCAAACACAGCAGCTCAAACATGTTTCTTGCACTATATTTGGGGCTTAACAGGAAGTTTAAGAGATCAGATTGTGAACTGGAAATGGTTCCTCTGTTCGTTATTTATTTAAAAAGGAAGAGACTCCTTTAGGAAAGAGCCTCTTTTCAAAGATACCTTGGCAAGGCCTTGCAGTATTTTTTTTCTGCAGCACCAAAACAGGCGTTACAAAGATACCTAATTAAGATAAAGGATTATTACCCAAAACTCCTGCTGAAGATACTTTTCATTCCTGGACATTCTGCATGGTATATCAACATAAAAGGATCTCACACAGCCCTCTTAAGCTGAAATCACTATCTGAAAATATGTATATTTTTGAGAAACACATTATTTGGAGGGAAATTTTTCAAAATGCCTACAAAGTAAATTAAGACTATAGCCCTCTACATAGACTTCCCCAGGAAAAGTTCCCATTGCAATCTGGTGGGATCCTTTTACATTGCTGACAGTGTGCGTAGAACCACACTGTCAGCAATTATACCATGATTCTGCTGCTCTAGAGACCTCATCACATTGAGCAACTCAAGCCAGAGGCGAGGCAGAGGCATCTGTGGGTAAGTGGAGAAAATTCAATGGGCAGCAGGGGAAACCAGCACCCCACATCGCTCCCTTCCCCATCCCATGGAGGGAAGCATCGCCACCTGGCTTCCGCCCACTCTTTCCCCAGCTTTTTTTAATGAAAACACGGGAAGTTTTTCATGTTTTCTGGGCTCCATCCTAAGACGCTTGCAGGATGGAGCCAGACAGAGCCCTCCCGGAAGTAGCCTGCTTCATGGCAGGCTCTGTCCTGATTCTATTCTGCAAGTATTCAAGGATGGAGCTGAAGATCAATGTGATGAAGTCCTACAAATATGGAGAAATAGATTCAAACTGCAGGAAAAGAGAGCCCATAGTATGTTCCATTGTTGAACAGCTCTTACTATCAAGAAGTTATTTCTAATATTAGAAATAACTTCTTGATAGTAAGAGCTGTTCAACAATGGAACATACTATGATCGGTCCTTACATAAACTAGATGGTCCACGTGGTCTCTTCCAATTCTATGTTTCTATGATTCTACATGCTTGCTAACTTTCCCATCATGCATATATTTGAATTTAACAATATGCACTTATCTCAAAGCCACCCACAGGCTATACTTGGACTACATATGTTTTCAATCTGTCTCTGTGGGTTTTAATTCACACATTACAACCTTCCTGCTCTTTTTGAAGAGCTTTGTACACCTGCACATTTTTCTACATAAAATGCAAATCCTTTAACTTTTTAAAAGAATATAAAGTGTTATCATTTGGGGCCCTAATATTTCACACTTATGATACAAGCTGTGCTCCAAACACCAGTCACAAAATTCCCCCAAAAAGCCAAAAGAATACAAAATGATGTGCACAAAGTACTCATGGAACAAGCTTTTGTAAATTAATAATATACATAACAGATTATCAACATTTAGATACTATAGTTTATATTAAAGCTTTATCACTTTTATCAGTTTTAGATAGATGTTCAAATGTTCACAAGGTGTGCC